TGGTTGACATTCGTGAGTGGATTCCTGACAGGACCTGATGGAACATAAAACCGAGTTCCCAGGTGCAAAACTGAGCTCCTGGGTCCAAGCTGGTGTGTACGTAAAATTTGATGAAGAGGAGGGGGGAAACCCCTCTTCATTTCACTCCTTCAGAATGTGGTAGTGATGTCATCACAATATTGAATCAGTCTAATTGAACAATTTTGTGTCCCAAGATGGCAGTGGTTTTCTAGTTCTGGGCCACGGTGATGTCATAAAACTTATTCTTTAATAGTTGGGGTACTTGAATGGATGATTTGAGTTCTAGATATTTGAATAATTTGCAAGTCATGATTTGAGTAATTTATATAACAATTTTACGGGAGAAACCATTGGTTCCCTCTTATACATTCTAGTCCAAAGATTCTATTATATTTACTCAAGGTATGTTAACTGGACTTTAGACCCTTTCCCTCACCCTTTAGACCTACATGGTTACGTGATATCTCTACTTATAGGGCGAGAGAGAGAAATGGGATTAAAACGTCCACCCAGCACATACAAGGTCAATAATTAGCTTGTGTGTAGGGGTACCGGAGGACCTGTAGAAAACCCATGAGGATGAACACACTGTAACCCAGGTATCGTTTAATCTTGTGTATCTAACACTAATTTCTTTCACATTCGTTTAATATCAAAACTTTGTTTAAAAATTTGTAAAAACGATTTATGGTGATTTTAAACAGTTTTTATGAATTTTTAAACAAAGATTGGATATTAAACGACTGTGAAAGCAATTAGTGCTAGATACACAAGATTAAACGATACCTGGGTTACAGTGACAGGCGACCCTAGTCCTTGTCATAGTACAATCAAGGAATTGAAACCACGCACCTTGATTCAATGACAGATCTTATGATCTAAAGTGCACATATTAAACCAAACACATATAGACACTGTAAACTGGGTATCATTTAATCTTGTGTATTTAGTATTAATTTCTTTTACATTCATTCAATATCAAATCTTTGTTTGAAAACTTGTAAAAATTATTTAAAATCACTCAAAATCATTCAATTTACAAGTGTTTAATTTCTCAATCACTGTTAAAAAATAAACAACCAAACTGATTATTCATGTATAATGATTAATTTTTTTATATGAATTGAGTTTTTACGACTTCACAACACAATGTTTTTATCAATTAGAGACAAACATATAGTTATATATTTTTATATTGACAGAAGTAGAGAGAGAGAAATGGGGTTTAACGTCCACTCGACACAAACTAGGTCATTTTGTTACTAACACATGGTTCAATTTTATTTCAATCATCCGCTTGCGCGTAGGGGTCCTTAGCAGTGGGAGGAAACCGGAGGACCCAGAGAAAACCCACGAGGTTAGACAGGCGACCCTACTCCTTGTCACGTACAACCAAGGAATCGAAACCCCGCCAGCTGACTCAATGACAGACCGTATCATACAGCACGCGCGTGTTAACCATTCGGCCATCCAACCCCTCCTTGACAGAAGTATTTTTGCCTACTCTTCATTAAATTCTAATGCTGTTGATAAAAATGTCTAATGTCTGTATCAATAATTATTCTAAGTCTTTAATTCATTTAGGTTTTTTAGGTGTACTGAAATATCTACCGTTTACGTGCACCTAAAAATTGATTTCTATTTTTAGAAAGTGGGTGGAAAAATTTAAAAGAACTACATCTGTGATTGCCTATAATTGCTTGATTTCTGAAATTATCTAATAATTACAGTTTCATAATTGTGTTACTTGTTACATATTGTACGATAGAAAACAACTTTCAATTATTTCTAATAACCCAAATTGCAATGAATTGTCAACACGTGAAGGGGAAAATTGTTATTTACTTCTAATTGACTTTTATGAAAAGGATCCTTTTTTTTATTGAGGGTCAATTTTTGAGTGATTTGAGTTCAGCTATGTTGTTTAATAAAAACCCCACCCAACATGACTATAAATCTTAATATACCCCAGTACAAAGGACAGAAACGCTCTCAGATGACTGATCTTGGGGTATTTATTGAGGGAGTAACAATATTACATTATAATTATTACATATTAAATAAAGATATTAAAAATGACTTCATGGAAAATTATTAAATTATAATATGGGTGGAAATAACTTTATACTTACACAATATGCATTGAAAATTTACTTTTTAATTGTCAATGAATTTTTTCTATAGTATTCAACGTATTAGCATCTGATACAATTTATATTCACGATTGGGTACTATTAAAGGGAGATTTCCGAATTTCATAGAGCCTATGATATATCAGTCCGTCTATGTATGAAATTTAAATGCCAAAATATAAAAGAATAGTGTATTTACCTTGTCTGAAAAGTTCGATCAGTTCAAAATATTCAGTCGTTTGGACGTGAACGTCAAATTCAAAACCGCCTATCCGGACACTAGCATTTTTAAATAAAGAAATGAAACTTTATTGTTGTTGTTAGTTAGTTGTATTTTACGTCCACTTCCACCGAGGTGATATCATTTCAAGAGAAATCATTAAATATAGGACAAAATCACTTTAAATTTGAACAAACTTATCACTGAAAAATAACTTTTTAATGTCAATTTTGTTTCTTTACTTTTCCTATAGTTTTAGCACCTGAAACCACTTCTCGACCTAAGCTAAGTCTCTAGTGGATACTATTGAATAATGATCTAAAAATTCACTTAACTTGTTTGGGTGAAAATCACTTTAAATTGGCAGAATATCATCTTGGAAAAAAATGTTTTAATTGTTAATGAAATTTTTTCTACTTTTTCTATAGTATCAGCATCTGATACAAAAACTTTGTATAAATCAAATGTTTAAAAAAATGCAAAAAGATCCATAATAAATAAGATTAAATTTAATGGGGAATAGAAGTCAACAAAAGATAATAAAAAGATATTTAAACAGAGTATATCACTTTGTGTAAAAGAAAATGGGTGATTAAACCTTAAAACTAGGGAGTTTCCATAAAAGAGGAAGCTTATTCCTATAAAAAGAGAGCCTTAAATATACTCTTCAAAAAAAGCAGGGGATATTCAGAAACAATACAAAACTGCGGAAATGCACTGCTGTTTTTATTATAGGTAACCAATGTATGCTAATAACAGGCCAATTGCCTACACATGAACATAAACAGTTCATATGGGCGGCTTATCTGACAGCCTCATTTCACTTGCAAAGAGATACACCGTCAAAAGTGAAAATGGATGTTTTAGATTTTTGTCTTCATAATGAGTAATTGCTCCACCAATCCTCAGACATTCAGCGATTCGGCGTGGCATGCTCCTAATCAACCGTCCAATCACGATTTGGGGCAATCTGACCCACTCCTCTTACAGTCCCACGGCCAATTCTTGCAGTGTTGTCAGTTGACGTCGACGAACATGTCTCCCGATCAAATTAAACGTAACACACTAAAGCAAAGATACGCTAAAAAGGAAATCTTATAAAAGAACCGATAGGAAAGCAAACATGGATAGATAAACCAGCACGCGGCAGTTTTCATCAACCCTTCCTTGATTTGTCAAATTTGACAATGAAACCCTCCCACGTGTATGGCGCTATTGCGTGTCGCATGTGCAGCTCAGTGGTTCTGTTGGGGCGATAAGTTCTTCATCTGTGAACATACTCTCAAAGCATGTCAAATATCCATGACTATTTATCATATCGCAACCTGCATAGGTATTTGCATTTCAATATTCCCTTATATACTTGTTCTTTGGTTAATTGCTTGATAGTTTTTAATAATCACATATCTTTAATGCAATCTAATGATATTTAATTACTCTCAGAACCTGTGCTTCACTTGTCATTCAATAAACTGACATTTTACACCAAATCTTGTATTTGTTATTTGTTTTAAAATGGTCTTCGAGGGTAGAGAACACAAATACTACTTCATGTGTACTTTTATTTCGATAATTTCACATTTACTACCTATCTCATTTTTATGGATTCTTTGATTATGTCTTTGGATTTATTAAGTGTATTGATATATACAGTTTGTTGTTTATTGCTTACAATGTCTGTGTTATAGTTTTATATGAGTCTTGTCAGCACGTTTGTGTTATGGGTCTTGCTTGCATGCCACGGTGGCTAAGTGGATAAGACGCTGGCTTACTAGCCTGGAGGTCACGTGTTCAATCCCAGCATTTGGCCAAGAAAGTTTGCGATTTTCTAATGAGGTTTCTCCCTGTCAGTGGTGCAGGACGGGGGGCCTGACAAGGACAGGTGTCTAGTCATTCGGAAGAGACGAAAAAGCGAAGTTTCGTGTGTACATTGGTGCACACGTATAGGATCTCTTGACAGTTGGAATTCGATATAAGAGTAGATCATAGTGCCGCTGCCTGGGCAAAATTTCCCTCATAGCACACTGTATGGGGTATGCCTGTCTTCATTAGCCCAGTCAGTGCACAACAGTAGGATGTTAATTAAACCGCCATTTCATTTCATTTCTCGTTTGCCTGTTTGCATTCCTCCTTTAACATTATTACATACAGCATGTTTCTCATTATTACATACAGCATTTTTCTCATTATTACATACAGCATTTTTCTCATTATTACATTCTCATTATTACATATAGTAGTTTTTACTAATATTACATCAGATACTATATTTAGTAACAAAAGATAAAGCCTGCTTTATTTCTCAAAACCAACTTTAGATGTTTGAAAGGAGTGACTTTTAACTTTAGAAAATATAATAGGACAAAGAGTTTTTGTCAACCCTTTGTCGGAAGGACCCGAGGGTAGGGTTTAAAAATAAAAAATGTTAATATTTATATGTAGGAGTAATATTATCTTACAACATTAAACCTTGACTCATCATATACAACATAAATTATAGGTGGAGGTTACGGTATATTGACTACTGTCTTTATAAAAAAAACCAACACTTTGTGATTTATATAGAATGACGATTGAAATATCTCGATTGATAGTAATAGTTGACACATGTAAACGATGGTAGTTAGTTCTTCACTGTATTGATGGCCACTTCAGATTTCTAAAATTTGGACTACAAGCTTGAAGAAATATTGATTAAATAGCTGATTGCTAACAGTTGACACAGGTAAATTGTGGTATGGACCAAACCAACTCAATATTTACTTCTTTGCGGTTTTGATGACCACTTATGACTTCTAAAATTAAGATTACAAGCTTTTTTGAGATGAGCATTCAAGTATTTTCTGTTTGAAATAATTTTTTTCCCCACAAATTGACATACTATTGTCTTGTTATAAAGTTAAGACTTTGTGATGTATATTATGTATGGGATGTTATGTCGCTATTTTAAAATCAGTATATACAATATGACAGTTGAAATGATTGATGTAATATCTGATTGCTGATAGTTGACACTGTTAGAACACGATAGAACATCTTTATATAACCAAACTAATTTAAGACTTAGTTCTTAGGAGTCCTGATAAATACATGGGACATGACTATATTTTAAAATCAGTATATGTATATAGAATGACAGTCGAAATTATTGAAGGAATCTTTGATTGCCAATAGTTGACACAGGTAAAGCAACTTAATATTTCGTTCTTCACAGTCTTGATAATGGTCACTTAAGATTTCCAAAATTTGGATAAGCTTTTTAGAAGAGCATCCAAGTATTTTCACTTAAAAATGATTTTTTTTTCACAAAGATTTGGTGAAGAGCAACAAAGTATTTTTTGTCTTAAATTACTATATTTGTCTTAAATTAATATTTTTTATCATAAATTGTTATTTTATCAGCATTTTATGTCTTAAATTGTTATTTTATTAGTATTTTTTTGTCTTAAATTGTTATTTTTTTATTAGTATTTTTTGTCTTAAATTGTTATTTTATTAGTATTTTTTGTCTTAAATTGTTATTTTTTTATTAGTGTCTTATGTCTTAAACTGTTATTGTTTCTTTAAGAAATAGAAAGCAAAATTTTAATAGATGTTTCCGACAAACCAAAAGTTAAAGTGAGGGTGAGAAATAGGTTTTATTATCCACTCATAGTTGCTAGACTGACATATGTTACAATTTTATTTCAATAATTTTAGGTCTTCAGCAGTGGGACGTTAGAAAGACGACCCTACTTGGGATCGAAACCAAACACTTGACTCAATGACAAACAGAATGATCTAAAGCGCACACATTAGACAACTCAACCACCCCTCACTCCCCAGAGAGAGAGAGAGAGAGATGGGGTTTAATGTCCACTCATAAGGTCTGTCATTGAATCAACTGGTGTGGTTTCGATTCCCGATTGTATGTGACAAGGAGTATGGTCGCCTAGCCAACCTCATGGGTTTTCTCTGGGTCCTCTGGTTTCCTCCCACGACTAAAGATCCCTATGTGCAAGTGAATTATTGAAATAAAATTGAACTATATGTTAGTCCCAAAAGGACGTAGTTTGTGTTGAGTGGATGTTAAATCCCATTTCTATCTTTCTCTCTCCCCCATGGTGTACCAAGTTCATTACATGGACTGGATTCCATAGTGCGAATGCGTAGAAAATTGTTATCTTGATTTTAACACAAAAAAAAACCCCTAAAGTTATCAGTTCAGTGAATTTACAGTGAGTCAGTGTTTGTACCAAGACCATTATATGAACAGGATTCTACACTGCTGCTGTTGCGTAGAAAATTATTATCATGATCCTGTATAACAATGAAAAATCATAACTTATCAGTTCAGCGAGTTTACTACACAGTGACTCAATGGATAATATAGCATATCTCTGTATTTCCCAGTTTGGAAATTTACAATATCACCTACATAGACAGTTTTAGGGCCTGTATATCAGATAATTACTGGGTTACTAGTGTCACAGACCCTATAGTGTATTATAGGGTCCATGGTAGGGTTAGCATATAAATAAAGGTGGCATAGACAGAGTAGTTATATGTTATAGAGTGTCAAGATGAACGCTACAGATATTTCATTTTGAGGTCTTCTATTTATTATTACAACACAAGATTCCATGACAACTGGCTGGTAGCTGGTATATATGCTGAATAGGGCATCTGTAAGGGTTTGTAGCAGGGACAAACAGGGTTTTAAGTTTTATGTTGTCGAGTCCAAGATGAACCCTAATAAGCATCTATATTTTTGACATCATTTATATAATAATTTAATAAATGACATTTTCACACAGATAAGATGACATTGTATTTTTTTAGTAGTTATTGGGATAGGGAATACAAAAGATATTTCATTTTGAGCTCTTCTTATTTCAACCTCTAGAATGATGGTCGAAATGCCGAAAGATAATTGACGTCAATGCAGGGCTTTAATTTCAAAATTTTGTCAACCAATCTATTTTAGACAAATGTTTTTATACTCAGAATAGCAAGATCGTTTTCCTCCAAAATATGACAATTTTTAGTCTAAGCCCATTTTTCAAATTAACGATATTTATTGTGTTGAGATTCTAATTTCCAGTCATGTTAATTGACTGACAGGTAAAAACCTCTCCGGCCAGCCAGCCAAAACTCGCTATGATGAATGATACTATTTTTTTTTTCAGTTCAACTTTATTAACCTTTATGAATACTCGCATGATTAAATGTTGTTTTGGATAATTTAGACATTTGTACCTGTTATTGTCTGTGCAACTTATGGACATATTATTTTATTTTTCAGTGCAAGGACTGGAAGAAGAAGTAGTCTACCCGTCAACATGAACTTTAATAATCGGTAAATAAATTTTCAATGATAAGTATACTCGTACAGATGGCATCGCTGTTTTAGCTATGCTATAACCTTTGTTAAAATATTGTACTAGTAAGTGCAGGAGAACCACACTACATGCAAAACAAAACTGTTGATCATGAGCTGTTGAGACAACCCCGCGGACAAGACAAACTACACAGATATTGTAAGAAATAAACAACAAATATCAAACCATGTGAATGGATCTGGAGGGGGGGGGGGCAGCTGTAAGCGGCGTCCACTGCACTGTACAGACTTCACTCCAAATGAAGAAAAGATTTAGGACAGTTTCAAACACTTTGGATTATTATCAAAAATATTTGGGAATTAGATACATTGGTTATATTGAGACTAACATATTGTAAATTATTGCTAAGATAATACTAAAATAAAATAAAAAATAAGACAATTTGTCTGGAATATCGGTGGAAGCGGACATTAAACACCACGAACAATAACAGCACTTTTCACTTATTAATAAAATCAAGTTTTTATTATTTCTTTTTTCAGATTTGATCCATTTAATGTTTTTGAGGTATGTTTAAATAAAACATTTATTATTCAATATCAAATGATTACAGCTACCCAAAATGGCCACACAGTGTGCTATGAGTGACATTTTGCCCGGGCAGCGGCACTATGGCCTACTCTTTCATATATATCGAATTCCAACTGCCAAGGGATCTTTTACGTGCAGGCCAATGTATACACGGAAACTCAGTTTTTCGTCCCATCCAAACGACTGAACAGCTGTCCTTGTCAGGCCCTCTGTCCTGCACCACTGACAAGGGGGAAACCACGTCGGAAAATCACAATGAACGTTAAACCTAATTTCATACTCAAATGATTACAAGAAGTGAAACAATGATGAACTATGCAGTTATATTCTTCGCCAATGTGAAGGGGGGGTTGGGTGGTCGAATGGTCTAAGGTGTGCACTTTAAATCATAAGGTCTAATCATTTCTATGCGCAAGCACATTTTTGAAATAAAATAAAACCATATGTTAGTTCCAAAATGACCAATTTGTGTCAAGTGGATGTTAATCCCCATTTTTCTCTCTCTCTCTCTCTCTCGCCAATACAATGTAAACTCTGTGAGAAGAATCACCAGCAATTATTATGTCATGTTGTCTTAGGTGAAATTAAATGGTTTTTTTTTTTATTTTGTAGGTAAAGCATCGACCACCAACAATTTTAACAATAAAAGTTTTAAAAGGTTATAATATAACAAAAGGATGGGCAAAAGATTGGAGTAAGTTTATTTCATTTATTAAAATCTCACTAGATCTTTGTTTTCAGTGTCATTAAGTCATTTTAATATAGTTAGTGTCATAAAGTCAATTAAATATAGTCAGTCATTAAGTCATTTAAATATAGTTGTAGTCATTCTAGCCATTTTAATATAGTTGGGGAGTTGGATGGCCGAATGGTTAGCACGTGCGCGCTGTATCATAAGGTCTGTCGTTGAGTTAACTGGCGTAGTTTTGATACCCTGGTTCTACGTGACGAGGAGTAGGGTCGCCTGTCCACAAGCAAATTATTGAAATAAAATTGAACCATATGTTAGTCCCAAAATGACCTGGTTTGTGTCGAGTTGATGTTAAACCCCATTTCTCTTTCTCTCTCTCTTTAATATAGTCATAGTCATTGTAGCGATTTTAATATAGTCAAAGTTATTTTAGCGATTTTAATACAGTTATAGTCAATTTAATACTGCTATAGTCAATTTAATACTGTTATAGTCAATTTAATATTGTTATAGTCAATTTAACATGTTTGTATTCAATTTAACATAGTTGTATTCAATTTAACATAGTTGTATTCAATTTAACATAGTTGTATTCAATTTAACATAGTTGTATTCAAAAACCTAGACTTGTTATTAAATTAAATGTAGTTTACCATGTTTACCAGTTGGTAAAGTTCTGCTGCCCGAAACACGTCCTGGATTAAAGCACTTCATTTCAATACAAGTCTTGCCAAGTTTGTTGTGTTGGGAATCAATTAAAGAGAAAGTGATTTAAACTGATTATATATTTTGTTTTCAGTGGATACACCCGATCCATATGTTATATTATCTATAAAAACAGCTCCAAACAGTTGGCAGAAAACAACCGTCAAAGATAACGATATAAATCCTGTTTGGGATGAAACATTCACTTTCTTTCTTGATCCAGTAAACACCAATGTCTTAGGTAAACTTTATTTTACCATTTTGTAATGTGGGGCCCAGTCAAAGGGTCATCCAATGCAATTGTCAGAAATTTTCATAGGAGATGATGACTCCCAAATACACAGGTTAATGTGTTATATATGGCCCAGTCAAAGGGTCGTCCATTGCAACTGACAGAAATTTTCATAGGACCTGATGACTCCCAAATTTTAATGTACTGTATTAATTTCAGTTAAAAAAATTATAATTTTCAAATTTTGTCTGGACAGCATCACTACTCTTGTCTTATATCGAATACCAACTGTTAAGGGTTCTTTTAAGTGCACACCATTTTTTTACACGGGACCTCAGTTTTTTGTTGCATCCCACCTTTATAAGGGCTACATGTATATGTAGTATAGTGAAGATTGGTGTTGAGATATAATATATTGTTTGTATATTTTATATAGAGATATCGTTAATGGATGCTAACTACACAATAGATGAACATCTGTGCATGAGAGAAATTTCACTGAACGATATACCGTTACAAACTAAAATACGCAAAAAAATACAATTTAATGACGTAAGTACAGAGAATAATTCTTAGATTCAATTTATATAAACCATTAACTTTCCTCAGGGTTGGCAACTACACTAAGGTTAGTCCGAGGCTGAAATTTGGGTATAATTGTAAGTGCAGGAGGACTGCACTACACACTAACAAAACCGATAAGACAAACCCACGGACAAGACAAACTGCACAGACATTGGAAGAAATAAACAACAGATATGAAATAAAGTGAATGGATCTGAGGTCCAGCCATTACTGTACAGTCCCAGACCAGTAATGATACTATCAATGATTTACAAGAAAGACACAGTAATGCGACAGATCTTGACTGTGGTCGTCTTCTGAATGGCGATAGTCTACCAGTCAATGTCATGACTTTAACATTAATAAGGTCAATAATCATGATAAATTGTAACAGTAGGAGGTTAAAACCCATTTCAATTCATCCATTTTCTCTGATCCTCCTGATCTAACTCCAAAATGCACTGAAGGCTATTTGTTCCTGAATGTGAAATGTTTATATTTTATTTCAGACATCAGAAGTGGAAATAGAAATGTTTGCAGTTGTCGAGTGAGTATTTCTCTTACTTGAATACAAAAACTTTAGAGATTGAACAAGAATTTATAGTGCGCCCTGGAGCACCTTATTAGCTCGAATGCTCAGAGCTATTATTATTATACCAACATTTCATCAGTCTGAGACCAAGACGACAGACATATTGACACAAGTGACAGTTGTGGCCGCAGAACCTTGTGGACACTACCAAATTGCTTTCTGGGTTGATATCCAATATTCCACTGCATGGTGCTAATTGTACCAACAATTGTTGTCTGTATGTCGAATGACGAGCATAAACAATTGAAGTTTTCTGCAATTATACGGTGTGAATGTCATAAGATGTCACTGAAGTGACCAAATGAGTAATAACAATAGCATCTCATTTTAAATAGCTTGCCCATTTCACATACAATTACCTTAAAGGCTGTCGATAGAACATCCACCAATTAAAGATGTTGGTACATCTATTTAGAAATGTTTTGCATATTTGGCAATTAAATGGAGAACCGAATACAGAATCTGTGATAATCCTATGAAAATAGTTCATGAACATCTTGTAAAGTTCTTTGCTTGGAGAATATTACTTATAAATTATTATATCCTCTGATCCCTAACTGTATCACTGAGATCTGTACCAAGGATTCGGCCACCATTCTAGTAGTATGAGGTTAATGCATCAAAGTCTTGCATTTTATGGGTGTTGGCTGGATGGTTAACACGTGCGCGTTACACCACACGATCTGTCATTGAACGAAGTGGTTTCGATTTCCCGATTGTACGTGACAAGGAGTAGAGTTGCCTGTCCAACATCGTGGGTTTTCTCAGGGTCCTCCGGTTTCCTTCCATTGCTAAAGACCCCTATGTGCAAGTGAATTACATGTATTGAAATAAAATTGAAACATAGGTTAGTCCCGAAATAACCTAGCTCGTGTCAAGTGGATGTTAAACCCTATTTCTCTCTCTCCCTCTTGGATTTTTTTTATAGTGTTAAATATCAGGAAAGGATAAAAAACCTATCATTGTTTTTTTTTTGTTTTCAGTGATAATCCTAAATTACGATATAGTTTAGCTTTATGTGATGAAGAAAAAGAGTTTGTTAGTCTAAGGAAGAGGAAGATCTTTCTAGCCATGAAATCTATTTTAAAGGAAGATAGTCCGAGAAACGTGAGAGAGGTAGGTTATTCATTTATACACATATTAGATGGACGGCATTACCCCGACTACAAAAAAACTATGAAATATGAAATATTAGAAAATGACACACATGAAATCTATTTTAAAGGAAGATAGTCTGAGAAATGTGAGAGAGGTGGGTTATTCAAATAAACACACATTAGATGAACGACATTACCAAACAAACTATGAAATATTAGAAAACAATACACATGTCTAACCCACTCCACTTACCCCAATTATAAACAAATTATGAAATATTAGAGAAAAATAAAAAATGAAATTTCTTCAATATCACTTTTGTGAGTTGTTTTTTTTGAGAATTGTTTCCCTCTTTGTTTTTTTGAGTAAAGCCTGTATCACAACTGGTCTGGGTGTGTACAGCGGATCTAATAATAATATGTCCATTTAAAAAGAGCTATATCCAAAAAAAGTCTCTAATAATATAATTTAAACAGATAAGTTTTCAAGTCAGATTTGAATTTATTAAGTGATCTGTAGTCTTTTGATTTGATATATATACATTTGATGTTTATATTTTGCAATGGTTGTGCATATAGTGTGTATGTCTTGTCGGTGGGTTTATCTTATTGTTTTTTTTATGCGTGGTGCAGTCCTCCTGCACTTAGTATTGGAATAATAAAAGTCTAACCTTTATTTAACAGGTACCAACTATTGGTGTACTTGGATCTGGAGGAGGTTTCCGAGCTATGACAGCGTTTAGTGGTGTATTAACAGCGTTAGTTGATAGTCATATACTAGACATGGCTACTTATGTGGTTGGTTTATCTGGATCTGCCTGGTAAGAAAAATATTAAAATATTTGACATTAGATTTAACAGAAATCTGGAAAATTAAAATGCATGAACACCAATTAAGTTTGTCATTAATAGATTTGTATGCTGGAAAATAAATAAAATTGGATCTGACAATCTACAGAGATATACAAAGAGCATAACATGTCACAATCATGTGATAATTGGGTTGGGTTGACCATTTCAATGTTTTTCTGGGAATCTATATGACTATGCTGTGAAGTCATTTTCTTAGGTGATTTCCCCAAATCATGCCTCAAACTCATGTCTGTTTAAGTGATGAATATTAACCAACACACCTCTTCGATGCTTGCAAAAGGCACAAAAAGGGGAATAGAAACAATAGCTATCAAATAGTTACCCGTTTCCATCCTTTTAGTACATCCATGCCAAAAATGAGAAGATTTTGATGTGTCAAGGGAGACAACTCCTGATTAAAATTTCTCTAGTCATTATGCATATGTATCAAGTTACATTGGAACATATATTTCAATTTTTGAAAAGAACAGAAACAGTCTGTTGTCTTGCCACTGTCTCAGCAATATAATTCAATCATCAAAAATAAAATTCTATTCACTCATTTAATAAAATATGATGTGTCAAGGGAGATCTGGTCACCACTACTCTTGACTTATTGAAAGGTTTTGAAAGTTTTTCTTATCTCTTGCAATGACTTGAATTGTCTAGAAGGACCTTTATTCTTGTCAATGTCAAAATAATGCTTTTGAAAGGAGATTTTTCTTTTTTATTGTATTTAAATTAGCCCTAAAAGTACATGCGATAATAATCAATATTATTATGAGATTTTTTTTTACCCTATTGTAAGGCCTAAATATCCAATTTGCACCCTTCATTAGCTGAGTAATTCCAAATGTCAAGGTTTCTTTTACAAGGATGTTGATTACACAGACGGACCACATTATTTTGTTTTATCTGTACCACGCTGTAAAATCCTGAGGAACTGGGATCTCCGCCATGCCCTGCCATGTCCCTGTATGGTTCCTATTTTACCATATTAGAAAAATATACCTGTATTTATATTTAACAGGTATATATCTCAATTATATTCCAATCCTGAGTGGCCACTCAAAACTCCCGGTGATTTAAATCAACAACTCAAACTAAACATAGATTCAAGTCCCTTCTGGTTAATCAAGCCTCAAAGTATGTACAGATATATGAAATTAATCATGGAAAAACGACGACATGGACAACCAGTCTCTTTTACTGATTTTTTTGGTCACCTTGTAGGAGAAACTATACTGAAAGGGGTAAGTCCACTGTTTTAGTGTCTTAAATTTTTGAGGTTGTTCCTTAAATTTGTCAAAGATTTTTATGGTCGAAGCAGATCATGAAATATTCTTGCCTCATACACAATTAACATTTGGGTGCATTTTTTTAGGACTTTTCTTGAAACGAAAAGAAATGAAATGAAATGGGGTTAACGTCCTACTGTTCTTCTCCTACTACTGGTGATACACCATACAGTGTGCTACGAGGAAAATTTTGTCTGGACAGCAGGACTAAAGCCAACTCTTTTATCGAATTCCAACTGCTAAGGAATATTTTACATGCACACCAACGTGTACACAAGGCCTAGGCTTTGATCCTATCCAAACAACTAGGTGCTGTCCTTGCCAGGCCTTCTGCCCTGCACCACTGACTTGGGGAAACCATGCTGGAAAATCCCAGAGAACTTTTTCTGCCAATACCTGAATCGAAACCTTGACTTCCTGGTAACTCTTCTACGAGGTTTTGATTAATCAGGATGCTGTTATCCCAAGAAAATCATTCAAGGGTCTGACTGAACTAAGAGAAATGGGACCATGGTTTCCATGATGGATGGAGGATGGTCATACTAATTTGAATTTTTGTTCTTTAGGAACATATTTCAAAGTATTGCTTTTTATTTAAAAAAACCCAACATTACTTGGTTGCAGGACCGTGGTGATAGTTAGTTTGTGAGTACAGATACTCATGCGCCACTTGATTATTTGTGCCATCCTTATTTTAAGCGCCACTACTTACTATCATAAAAAAATTTATTTCGCATAGAATTTTGCCAAAGAAAAAATAAATGTTGAAGAAATTTAGAAAAGAGAATACAGTGGGCCAAATCTGAGGAGTTTTCAGAATGTCAAGTGGGGGTCTGGGGTGGGGTACATGATTTATCAACAGAAGTCTTACCTATTAGAAATATTCAAATTGCCTTTTAGAAATATTCTCAGATATACTAGAAAATGGACCTTTGATTTTACCATTAAATTGCCTTTTAGAAATATTCTCAGATATACTAGAAAATGGACCTTTGATTATACCATTCTCCAAATTTTCTCAAGGTCCCCACCACGTCCCCGCTTGGTTGCTTTTCACCAAAGCTTTTAGTTCAAATTTCCAAGTTTTTAAATCTATTTATCAAAACCCTGAAGAAATTCAACTACATCGGATTAATTGGTGTATCTTTCTTCCTTATATTAACCTGTTAAGCGTGACGTTTTTAAAACGTTAAATACCCCCTATTGTGTAATTAATTTGACGAAGTGACGAAGAACTATATACTATGTTCTAAGAATAGGTTGGGGAAAATACCTCCAATGCGTTATATTACGCCCTACACACAGTGAGTGGCTGTTGTCTAGGACGTAATATAACATCCTACACATGCTGTGATCGTGGGGGAATTCCCAAGGGATTCCCCCACATGACGAACTATGTTCTAAGAATAGGTTGGGGAAAATACCTCCAAGGCGTTATATTACGCCCTACACACAGTGAGTGGCAGTTGTCCAGGACGTTATATAATGACCTACGCACTTAACGGGTTAATGTTAGTTATATAAACTGTATTTTATATTTTTAGAGATTAGAAAGTCGGTTATCAGATCAGCAGAGTAAAGTAAATGAAGGGTCAATACCGATGCCGATATATACATGTTTACATGTTAAAAAACATGTTTCAGCCATGATCTTTCACGGTAAGAATATCTTTTCACAATAACTTTGCAAGCTGTTTATGTCATGTCACAATAACTTAACGAGCTGTTTATGTCATGTCACAATAACTTTAAGAGCTGTTTATGTCATGCCACAATAACTTTAAGAGCTGTTTATGGCATGCCACAATAACTTTAAGAGCTGTTTATGTCATGTCACAACAACTTTACGAGCTGTTTATGTCATGTCACAACAACTTTAAGACTTGTTTATGTCATGTCACAACAACTTTATGAGCTGTTTATGTCATGTCACAATAACTTTAAGTTCACAAAGAACAATTATTATATGTTCTACTCCTAAAAATGTAAGAACTTTTAAGACTTTTGAAGAGATCAAAATTTCCCTCATAGTACACTACATGACTTAATGGCTAATGACATGAAACAGGGTTTAACGTCCTACTTTTCTGCACCAACTGGGCTAATGAAAATGGGCAAACACAGTGTGCTATGAGGGAAATTGAAGCTTCTTTTTTGTGCATGCTAATGAGTACACAGGACATCGGTTTTTTTTTGTCCCACACTGTCTTTGCCAGGCCATCCGCCCTACACCACTGACTTATGCCCGTCTACATTAGCTAGATTAATTATCATTTATTATGTCAAAAATGATCCCCGAAATGTTTTGAAACTATTTATTTTCAGGTCTACTAAAAAAGAATTATGGCACCTGGGCCTGCAACCCAATAGATAGCATCTCTGATTTACACATTTTTCTATGTGTATATTCTAAAAATAATTATTTAATTATTCACATCTTCTTACAGAATGGATGGAATTCTCACCATTTGAAATAGGAATGCCAAAATATGGAACTTTTATGAAACCAGGTCTTTTTGGAAGCAAATTTTTTATGGGCCAGTTAGTGAAATCCTTTCCTGAACCACCTTTACATTTTCTTCAAGGTAAACAACTTTCTAAATTATTGAAAATTGCTTGACAAGTTGAATCGGGGGGTTGGATGACCGAATGGTTAGCATGCGCGCACTGTATTATACGGTCTGTCATTGAGTCAACTGGTGGGGTTTCGATTCCCCAGTTGTACGTGACAAGGCGTAGGGTCGCCTGTCCAACCTAGTAGGTTTTCTCTGGGTCCTCCAGTTTCCTCCCACTGCTAAAGACCCCTGTGTGAGTCCAAAAATGACCTAGTTTGTGTCGACTGGACGTTAAACCCCATTTCTCTCTCTCTCTCTCTCTCTCTCTCTCTTGACAAGTTGAATCTCTAAAAGGAATATCATTCCAAAATGGTTTAATTCCTTTGATATTTTTTTCCCGCGTGGTTTCCCCTTGTCAGTGATGCAGGACGGAGGGCCTGACAAGGACAACTGTCTAGTCCTTCGGATGGGCCAAAAAACCGAGGTCCCGTGTACAAATTGGCACGCACGTAAAAGATCCCTTGGCAGTTGGAATTCGATATAAGAGTAGGTAATAGCGCCGCTGCCCGGGACAAATTTTCCTCATAGCACACTGTATGGCATATGCCCGTCTTTATTAGCCCAGTTTAGGAGCAAAACAGTAGGACGTTAAACCCCATTTCATTTCAATCGCTTCGATATTTTGTTTTTGGTTTCTTAATTTAATATTAAATAATCAATTTGAGTAGATTTATTGTGGTTTAAACCCTAAGAAATTAGATTTGTCCAAAAAAAGCAAATAAGGATCAGGAGTTTTAAATTCCAATTGACTAAATTTTCCTATAGAACAAATGATACTACTGTTCAATTATGAGAAATTGTCCAGCGTGGTTCTCCCTTGTCAGTGATGAAGGACGGAGAGGCTGACAAGGAAAGCTGTCTAGTTGTTCAGATGGGACGAAAAACCGAGGTCCCGTGTACACATTGGCGTGCACGTAAAAGATCCCTTGGCAGTTGGAATTGACTCGAGTGGCCATTTCTTTATCAACACCGTGAACAACTATACAGAAGTTTTATGAATAGTTTAAAAACATTTATTTTTTTAGGAGCTTTCTCTTCTTAAAATCTCTTTATTACTGCTATTATGTATATTTATATTTTATTCGTATTCTTTTAATTGTAACATTGTAAAACACCCTTGAACAATTGTATGAAAGAGGGGGCTATATAAATTTTGTAATAATAATAATAAAATAAAAATAGAACTAAAAATTAAATTCGATTAGCCTTAGGGTAAGTTTTAAATATTTTGTTTATTTAGGGAAAGTTTTAAATATTTTGTTTATTTTGTTTGCTATAGTTAGGATCTGTCTTCCACCATAAGAGAAAGAATTATATTTTTTGACAGTATTTTAAAATGGATTTAACTATGAAAAATTATATTGTTTGGCTGTATTTTAGGATGGATTTCACTATGAAAAATTGTATTTTGTGACTGTATTTTCAGGTATTTGGGGCAGTGCATTTTGTATTCAGTTTAAACGTTTATTACAAGATGATAAGAAAGTGGATGTAGCCCAATTGATGAGGCAAGAAAGAGAAGAATTAGGTAGGACAATTATACCCACATATAATCCCTAGTTACAATAATACCCACAAATAATCCCTAGTTACAATAATACCCACATATAATCCCTAGTTACAATCATATCCACATATAATCCCTAGTTACAATAATACCCACATATAATCCCTAGTTACAATAATACCCACATATAATCCCTAGTTACAATAATACCCACATATAATCCTAGTTACAATAATACACGCATATAATCCCTAGTTACAATAATACATGCATATAATCTCTAGTTACAATAATACACACATATAATCCCTAGTTACAATAATACACCCATATAATCTCTAGTTACAATTATACACACATATAATTCGGGCGATACTATATACCGAAAAACACCGAAAAACAACGGAAAACTACTGGAAAACACCGGAAAACTACCGGAAAACTACCGGAAAACATATAGTATTGTCGTATAATTCCTGTGACACGTGACAGCTAACCATTAGGTAGGACAATTGGAGGGTCTAGAGCACAAGTGATCTAACAACCAACTAAAATCCCTAGTTACAATAATACACGCATATAATCCCTAGTTACAATCATACCCACATATTTTCCCTAGTTACAATTATACACACATATAATCCCTAGTTACAATAATACACACATATAATCCCTGTGACACGTGACAGCTAGCCATTTGGTCATCCAACCCCTGAGCAAAATTTACCTAATATCAAACTGGTTGGTGCAAAAAAGTAGAATATTAAACCTCATTTCATTTCTTCTGTAAGTAAGGTATATACATGTTGATGTATGCACTGAAATGAATGTACACTAAATAGAAAACATTCCTCTTGGTAAAGGAACTCAACCTCCCGGTTAGTGAGCTACACACTAAGCTGCTCGGTGGCTCTTTGCCTTGATTTGTAAAATTTTACATATAATAAATATACGTGTATTTCTGTTTTGTGTGCAGAAAAGGAATGAATTCCCAGTCTTACTAAGACGCCATGGCTCCTTGATTTTTAAAAAAAATAATTTATAAACCTATTTTCCTTTTGTGTGTACAGAAAAGGAGCTTCAAGCAGAAATGAATTCCCAGCAAGAAGAAGACAGCGAGGCCAGTGAGACAGAAGAAAGTGACACAGAGAACAATAAAACGAAAAGAAAGTCGATAAAAGCCAAACCAAGTTCGTCTACTAACGGAGACTGTAAAGATGGAAAAAGTAAAACATTTTGGTCCGGGATGTTGGAGAAGTTATTTGATAGTACGATTTTACAAAGTATAGAAGGACGAGCTGCTATGGTGCATAATTTTATGCGTGGTTTATCAATGTCGTCCATGTACAGTTATTCCCCCTTCTCACATCAACAATCTGTCGATGAGACCCGTGGTAAATATTGTTTATTTTATCGAGGGGGTAGTTGTAGTATTAGTGGAAAAATCTCTGAAAAAGAATTTCATTTAAAGCCTCCGATTGTCATTTGAAGTACATGTATTGGTATATTTACTCTTCAAAAAAAGTAGGGGATATTGAAAGGTTGTGATATGATAAATAGTCATGGACATTTGACATGCTTTGAGAGAATGTTCACAGATGAAGAACTGATCGCCCCAACAGAACCACTGAGCTGCACATGCGACACGCAATAGCGCCATACACGTGGGAGGTGTTCATTGTCAAATTTGACACTTCAAGGAAGGGTTGATGAAAACTGCCATGTGCTGGTTTATCTATCCATGTATGCTTTCTTATCGGTTCTTGCATAAGATTTACTGTTTAGCGTATCTTTGTTTTAGTGTGTTACGTTTAATTTGATCGGGAGACGTGTTCGTCGATGTCAACATCAACCGACAGCACTGTAAGAATTGGCCGTGGCACTGCAAGAGGAGTGGGTCAGATTGCCCCAAATCGTGACTGAACAGTTGATTAGGAGCCTGCCACGACGAATTGCTGAATGTCTGAGGATTGGTGGAGCAATTACTCATTATTAAGAAAAATATCAAAAACGTCCATTTTCACTTTTGACAGCGTATCTCTTTGTGAGTGAAATGGGGCCGTCAGATAAGCTGCCCATATGAACTGTTTATGTTCATGTGTAGCCAATTGGCCTGTTATTAACATACCCTGGTTACCTCTAATAAAAACAGCAGTGCATTTCCGCAGTTTTGTATTGTTTCTGAATATCCCCTATCTTTTTTGAAGAGTATATATAATCCCTTGCAAATTGTAATATTGTGAAAGTTGAAATCTATAACTTTCCTTTATTTTATCAGGGAGTTAGATGTAGAAGTCTTAAAAAAACCAATATAATTTACAGGTCCTGATATCTTGCTTACTCCTTCCTGATTTTCCAGTTTTTATATAACTTATTTTTATATAAAACTTCCGTCTTCCTTATCCCAGTCGGAGCAGAACAGTAGGATATTAAACCCCATTTCATTTCATTTCATTTTTATATAAAACTTTGTTTGGATGTTTTATTTTAGATACGTTTGATGGTATATTTGAGATGTACCCAACAAATATAAAGAAGTTGTATGTTGTTGACGGTGGTTTAACATTCAATTCACCCTATCCACCATTACTACGACCCCAGAGAGCCGTCGATCTACTTTTATCGTTTGACTTCAGCGCTCGACCTTCTGATACAACACCTCCTTTCAAGGTCAGTATAATTTATTAAAGATTGACTTTTTAAAATGATTTTGACACAGAATATTGTTTATAAAACATCTTTTGTTTAAAGGGGAAGACCAACGATTTTCAACAAGGTTTCCATAAATCTTAAATATATATTGATAAATAATCCCCTCTGTAACACAAGCAAAAAAGTTTTTGTAAGCGAGAAATTAATTTTTATTAAACCGGAAGTGACATAGTTGGTTCAACACGCTCACTGGGCTCTAAAGAATACAGATTTGGCATAAGTTTACTGCTGTATTGTGTTCACGCGTCGTCCTTTGGCCAAAAATGTGATCAAATGGGTTGTTTATTAGGATATTATAAACACGAATTTATGTTTTTTTAAACGTTTTGTACACAAAGTCGTCGTGTAAGTTCACTCATACTGAACAGTACGATGTGCCTCAATTCACGCCACATGGCCAATTGCTTACATCACGTGGTTTAATTGACAGCTTGCAAGTGAGAGATATTTAGTCTGCTTGGATGTTTTTATGCGTGCTGAGTCTGCTGACAGTGTTTTTATTTACTTCAACGGACTTGTGGCACATGTATTCAAATAAATATATAAATTTCCAAAATATGTCAACGTCAGACACCAACGTACGTATTGGAATACATGTATAAAATAACTCTTCTATAGGTCTACATAAATGTCGTATAAACATTCGAGCCCAGCCATTCTCAAGAGGAAATGGAAGGAAAAGGGAAAAGTCGTTCACGTCGACACTATGTGCCAAAATGCACTATATATTATATGTCTCACATGCCCATAATTTTGATCAGTTTATGTTGAAAAACGCTGTCATCACGCACAAAAACATCGAAGCAGACGAAATACATGTCACTTGCAAGCTCTCAATCAAACCACGTGATGTAAACAATTAGCCATGTGGCGTGAATTGAGGCACAGCGTACTGTTCAGTATGAGTGAATTTACGCGACGGCTTTGTGTACTAAACGCTAAAAAACCCCATAAATCCGTGTTTATAATATCCTAATAAACAGCCCATTTGATCACATTTTTGGCCAAAGGACGATGCGTGAACACAATACAGCAGTAAAGTTATGCCAAATCTGTATGCTTACTATAGAGCCCAGTAAGCGTGTTGAACCAACTATGTCACTTCCGGTTTGAATAAAAATTAATTTCTTACTTACAAAAACTTTTTTGCTTGTGTTACAGAGGGGATTATTTATCAATTATATATTTAAGATTTATGGAAACCTTGTTGAAAATCGTTGGTCTCCCCCTTTAAGCCTCAGTTACATTCTTTTTGATTAAAGTGGAATTCCGGAATATTAGATAAAAAGCTGACAGTTCTGGCTATAATAGTTAGAAAATAGATAATGTAAAAGAAATACGCTGAAAATATCAGTCAAATTACTTCACTCTGAGCCGAGAAATCCTCATTTAAATAACAGTGTAGCCTTGATTGTCATTGTTACGATAATAAACAAAGTCCTGATTATCCATTTTTACGGTTAATCATCAACAGGCATTGAACTGTAGATCGACTGCAAATCTGTTGAAAATGTTAATAAATGTCCAATGTTAAAAATTAAATCAATTTTATTTGTTATTTTCAGGAATTGTTATTGGTCGAGAAATGGGCCAGATTAAATAATATTCCTTTTCCTCCGATCGACCCTACAATTGTTGATAGAGAAGGATTAAAAGAGTGCTATGTTTTTAAGGATCCTAATGACCCCCACTGTCCGACTGTTTTACATTTTACCTTAGTTAATATCACATTCCGTGAAGAGAAGATGCCAGGTAAATATCACATTTTATTACGAGAAAAAGTTTTTTTTACAAATGATTTACAATCCAACAGTGTCTGGAAGTCCTATAAGGATATAAAGTGGGGTTGGGTGGCCGAATGGTTAATGCGTGCGTGTTGGTTCAGAAGGTCTGTCATTGAGTCAAGTGGCATGGTTTCAATTCCCCGCTTGTGCATGACAAGGAGTAGGGTCACCTGTCCAACCTCGTGGGTTTTCTCCAGGTCCTCCAGTTTCCTCCCACTGATAAAATTGAACTATATGTTAGTCCTGAAATGACCCAATTTGTGTTGAGTGGATGTTAAATCCCATTTCTATCTCTCTCTATAAGAATATAGGGATCCAGCTCAGAATTTTATCGAAATAGGGTTTAACGTCCAACCTTTCTACACCAACTACTAATGAAGATGAGTATATGCCATGAAAAGTGCTGCAAAGGAAATTTTGCCCAGGAAGCATCATTTCCATCTTCTGCCTGCCAAGGGTTCTTTTATGTGCACAGCAATGTGTACATGGGCCCTCAGTTTTTGGACCTATCAAATCCTGAAAAACTTTCTCAGCCAAAACCAGGGTGAAGGCCTTTACTACCTAGTCTTATAGGTGCACGGCGATGTGTACATGGGGCCGTCAGCTTTTGGACCTATCCAAAATGCTGAAAAACTTTCTTGGCCAAAACCGGGATGAAGGAGAGAGAGGGAGAAATGGGGTTTAATGTCTACAAGACACAGACTAGGTTATTTCAGGACTAACATATGGTTTTAATTTTATTTCAATAATTCGGTTGCGCGTAGGGGTCTTTAGCAGTGGGAGGAAACCGGAGGACCCAGAGAAAACCCACGAGGTTGGACATGCAACCCTACTCCTTGTCACGTACAACCGGGGATTCGAAACCACGCCAGTTGACTCAATGACCGGGCCTCGTGATACAGTGTGCACATGCTAACCATTCGGCCATCAACCCCCCCCCCCCCCCCCCCCCCCCCGGAATGAAGGCGTTTGGTACCTAGTCATTGAGATGTTAAGTATTCACACCATAATATTTTTAATTAAACAGTTTTTACCACTGCCCAAAACAATTCAAAATAATAATTTATCAAAGTCATGAATATAACAAATGATTAAAATATTTTTTTTTAACAGGAGTAAAACGTGAAACAGAAGAAGAAAAGGAGTTTGCTAATTTTGATTTATTTGATGATCCTGAGCGACCATATTCAACATTTAATTTTAAATACACCCACCAGGCGTTTGACAGACTCACAAAGTTAACGGAATTCAACACCTTATTGTACAAAGATACGATCCTCGCCAATATTAAAGAACGAATAAAACTGCGAAGACGTCACAGTATACGTCGTCCGTGTAAAATCAGAGATATCCAGAAATTAAATCTCCGTGACAAATTCAAAGAAGGCGCTTTAGAAGCGTTCATTAGGTCGATCGATGAACAGGAGCAAGACCAGACAAGCAACGAAATCAAACCAGAATCATAATCAACTTAGCAAGGATAAATTATTATCCATGGACATCAAACTTGAAAAAAATAAATTGTTATCCTTGGACAAATTTTTATTCAGGCACATGCTACTTGTAATGGGCAAATGTTATTCATGGACATCCTACTGGAAATGAATAAATTGTTATTCATGGACATCTTACTTGAAATGAACAAATTGCTTTACATGGACTTCCTACTTGAAATGAACAAATTGCTATGCATGGACTTCTTACTTGAAATGAACAAACTGTTATTCATGGACATCCTACTTGAAATGAACAAATTGTTATTTATGGACGTTCTTTTTTAAACGAACAAATAATTATCCAAGGACCATGGACATCCTACTTGAAATGAACAAATTGTTATTCATTGACATCTTACTCGATATGAACAAATTGTTATCCATGGACTTCTTACTTGAAATGAACAAATTGTTATCCATGGATGACTACTTGAAATGAATAAATGGTTATCAATGGGCATTAAACTTGAAATGAACAAATTGTTATTTATGGATATAATACTTGAAATGAATAATTATTATTTCTGAACTACACAACTGAAATGAACAAATTAATATTCACGGACATCCTACTTAAAATCAACAAATTGTTATTTATGGACATTCTTTTTGAAATGAACAAATTATTATCGATGGACCATGGACATCCTACTTGAAATGAACAAATTGTTATCCATGGACATGTGATGTGAACACAATACAATATATACTAAAAGTAAATTATATTAATTATGATGTGATAAATATTGTTATCAACAATATGTGAATATTAAATTACATGTAGATAAATATATATTAATTTAAAAAAGTTTATTTTTGTATAAAAAATGTCAAATGCACAATATGTAAATACCCCAATATATAATTTAACATATTTTCAATATTTATTGTAAAAAAAAAGTCTTGATTCACATGACTACAATGTATAAGTAGAGCCAGGGCTGACCAGATCAAGGCAAATTTAGGGCCCTAATACCCCTCTCCCATCTTAGTATGACATTGGGGATACCAATGTATAAAGAATTAAATAGATATGGGTCCCGGAGCGATGTACCGACTGCGCCCGCTCTGCTTGGCCCTGAGAAGTGCTAAACTTGCCTATTGCAGGTCTTTTCTTGGCTTCAAGTGTTATGTAAACTATTTATTCACTTGATGACAAGTCCATAATTAACACCCTTGGCGATATAATGGCTTAGATATTGAGTGGATTAGACAATACTTGCCATTTATGCATTTAAAGATAACATTAATGTGGCTGGAGAGTGAAGACTGCTGATGAAGAACTGATAATCAAGACTTATCATGACAATGGAACTTGTCAATCGAGAATATGAACGGCAGACCAATCTGCCAATCACGGCTATTCTTGTCAAAACTTCAAACCGACATTCATAACTTCGCTCAGAATAAAGTAATTTGACTGAAATTTTGAATATATTTATTTTTCATTATCTATTTTTGAACTGTTATAGTAAAAATTTACAGCTCTTTCTCTAAATCTTGCATGATATAATGTATCTTCAATAATACATTTTGAAAGAAGCGAGAGAAATTTTTAAATTAAAAAGATATCTTGTTTAAAAAGTAACATCAAATTCTCGCGTACGACATTCCTCTAAGTAATTCCTCTTGAATTTTCTGTCGTAAAATACATAATGTAAATATTTTACTTAATCACTGTAAATACCTCAATATATATGTTTATTATAAATAATGTCTTGATTCACATTGCATACAATGCATATATATGTACTTGAACTTAATTTTCTTAAGTCAAATAAATATTACGGTAAATATTTTAATACTGTGAATAATTCAATATATACTCTTCAAAAAAAGTAGGGGATATTCAGAAACAGTACAAAACTGTGGAAATGCACTGCTGTTTTTATACGCCCACATTTTCATGTGGACGTATTATGCTGTCGCCCCTGTCTGTCCGTCCGTCCACAATTTGTTTGTGGACACTCTACAGGTCACAATTCTTATCCGATTTTAACGAAACTTGAAATATAGGTGTATCTCTAAAAGATCTCGGCTGCTTTCGATATTGGCATGTATCGGATCGAAACTTCATGGATTATGGTCCCTGTTTGTACGAAAAATCATGTTTTTGGCTTGTGGACCCTATAGAGGTCACAATTTTTATCCGATTTTGTTGAAACTTGAAATGTAAGTTTATAACCCAAAGATCTCAGTTCCTTTAGATATTCGCGCATATCGGACCGTAACTTCCTGAATTATGGCCCCTGATTGTACGAAAAATCGCGTTTTTAGCTTGTGGACCCTATAGAGGTCAAATTTTTTATCCGATTTAAAAAAACGTATTATTATATCACCGTTACACCATAAGGACGACTGAGTTCAAATTTCGTGAAAATCGGCCCAAAATTGACAGACAAAATGGCCGCCGTTCGTTCTCAAATAGCGTAAAAATATGGTATATCAAGGTTGTGGACCCTATAGAGGTCACAATTTTTATCCGATTTTGTTGAAACTTGAAATGTTAAGTTTATAACCCAAGGATTTTGGTTCCTTTCGATATTTGCGCATATCGAATTGTAATTTCCTGAATTATGGCCCTTGATTGTAGGAAAAATCACTTTCTTTTTAGCTTGTTCTCTATCCATCTCTTGAAAATGTGGGCGTATTCTGCCTGGCAGCCGCTGGTTATTAGAGGTAACCAGTGTATGTTAATAACAGGCCAATTGGCTACACATGAACATAAACAGTTCATATGGGCGGCTTATCTGACGGCCCCATTTCTCTCGCAAAGAGATACACAATCAAAAATGAAAATGGACGTTTTTGATTTTTTTCTTTATAATGAGTAACTGCTCCACCAATTCGTTGTGGCAGGCTACTAATCAACCGTCCAATCACGATTTGGGGCAATCTGACCCACTCCTCTTGCAGTGCCACAGCCAATTCTTGCAGTGTTGTCGGTTGACGTCGACGAACAAGTCTCCCAATCAAATTAAACGTGACACACTAAAGCAAAGATACGCTAACCAGTAAATCTTATGCAAGAACCGATAGGAAAGCAAACATGTATAGGATAAACCAGCAGGCGGCAGTTTCATCAACCCTTCCTTGAAGTGTCAAATTTGACAATGAACCCCTCCCACGTGTATGAAAATTATTTAGAATGATTTGCAAATTATAGATCAACTTATCCCTTTCAACTTTTTTATTGGTGTCAAGAGTCTATCACTTATAATTATCGGGCAGTAGTCGATTGGAATAGGCATACAAAATATTTCACTTTAGCCTTTATTTAGCCTGACCACTTGACTTCATGACGTCAAAATGACGTCTACGGGTTAAGGGTTAACATCCACTTTACACAAACTAGCTAATTTTGAGACTAACATAATAATTTTCATAATTCACTTGTGCGTAGGGGTTTTTAGCAGTGGAGGGAAGGGAAATGGGATTTAACGTCCACTCGACACAAACAAAGTCATTTCGGGACTAACATATGGTTCAATTTTATTTCAATAATTTGCTTGCGCATAGGGGTCTTTAGTAGTGGGAGGAAACCGGAGGACTCGGAGAAAACCCACAAAATTGGACAGGTAATCCTACTCCTTGTCACGTACAACCAGGGAATCGAAACCACGCCAGTTGACTCAACGACAGACCTTAAGATACAGCACACATTTGCTAACCATTCAGCCATCTTCCCCCCCCCCCTATTAGCAGTGGGAGGAAACCGGATGGCCCAGGGAAAACCCACAGGGTTGGACAGGCAACCGTACTCCTTGACATGTTCAAGTGGGGAATCGAAACCACACCATTTGATTCATTGATAGACCTCCTAACCGCACCCCCACCCCCTGCCTAAAGCAGACTATAATCAGGTGATTAAGATACCTGAGCTGGATACACATTGCATGCAATATATATGGTAAAAGGTGTAACATTTTCCTACCTGTTTCCATAGATTGGTTCACAGTCTATTTAGCCTTTATCTGAAATGGAGACAAAAGATTGTAAACTGATTATAAACAGATATTTTCGAAAGAATACTAAAGATATCAATCAAAATCATTTTTAATATTTCCAGTAAAAAATGATATAACCAATTCATACATTGAACATGCATTTTTATTTAAATTTAAAGTAGCTAAGTCTCTAACTCAATATCATCCAAAATCTTCGACATTGAAAACACGACTTATTTGTCGGTTTAAATCAACATTGATGTTGTCATCTTACCGGGAAAAGATGGCCTTCTGATATCCAATATTTAAAGACAAAATAAACATTTTACAATTGGTACACGAATCGTGTACCATAATGCGTTTCGGCGCTATTTGTAATAAGGGACTCTAAAAAACGAGGCTAGGCATATTCCACAAGTCATGTCAAACGGTGACATCATATTCTTATCTGGAGAGCATGCCAAATAAATACTATCGGCGTAGACTGGAATAACCAGGCGCTTGAGATTGAAATTCGGTTGAGAATACTGGCGTATTTCGTTGAACCTAACTGATTAGAAATTACAGTAAAAACAGAAACGATTGAATGTAAATCAATTTATATACATTCACATTACATTATTGTATGCGTTGTGACCCATTTGTGGCAATTTCTAGGTCCCAAATATTAGTGACTTAGCTCCTTTAAATAAAATAAATAAAAATCTGAATTTCAAGACCCAATCTGATTAAAATACTGATCTATAGTTGATTTCGTTTTTTTTTTCACTTTATATGGCCCACACTACATGACCGGTTGTACTGGGAGGTTGCGCCAGGGGTCGTACGAGCGTCTTTTGACCCTAAGACATCAGACATTGATTAATCAATCAGCGTTGACATTTCTAGTGTTTACCCACAGTTACATGCATCGCACGCCAAGAAGTCGCTGTAACATTTGGTTTCACTGTCTAATCCGTCACGCCATCCAGAACGCATGTTATATAACAACTCTTCCAGATCCTAGTGTAGTACAGACAAATAAACAAAATTTTGAACCATTCACTATTTCATTTTGCTATAAAATCATTATACTTAAATCAAGAGCAAACTTAAAATAAAATGGAAAATAAAACGAAATGGGTACATCCTACCTTTGTGCTCTGAATGGGCTGATGAAGATGGACATACGCTATACAGTGTGCCATGATGGATATTTTGCCTGGACATCAGCACTACGACTTACTCTTATTTCGAATTCCAAATGTCAAGGGTTCTTTTACGTGCACGCCAATGTGTACATGGGACCTTTGTTTCATCCCATCCAAACAACTAGACACTGTCCTTGCCACGCCCTCTATCCTGCCCCAATAAGAAGGGGAACCCACTCCGTAAAATCCTGAGAAACCATTTCGGCTTAGCAAGCCAGCGTCTTACTCATAGAGCAAATATCCTACTGTTTTTTATTCACCAACCTGGTATATGGGGGATCTTTAATCTGCTGTCAATGGTTTACACAAGATTTGTTTTTTTTTAGGTCTGAATAACTACAGGACTTTTCTTTGTCTGGCTCATCACCAACACAGGGATCGTACTTGGGGCCTGGTTAGCAAGTAAACTCTTCGCTCACTAAGCCACCACAGCACCACTTTCTCAGCTAACACATCGATCCTACTTATTGAGTTAGAGTCATACTCACTGAGCCACCATAGCTCACAAAAGCAAAGTTTCTAAAGACTCATTGTCTGCACCATAAAATTGTGGTTTTCAACATCAAGGCCGTCTTAATGCATGGGTATGCCGGCCAGTTGCCCACAGGCCCTACGCTCATAGTAACCACATTTTAATGTTTAAACATTGTCTTTTTTTTGGGATGTACCAATACAATAGTTTTATCAACCATTTACATTTTTGTTCCTGTGAGTTTTTGTGTATTAGGTAGGGGTCCTAGTGCAATGCTGTTCAGATGACCCTGTTCAGCATTCCCATTTTCACATGTTTTCATCTTGATATGATATTGTAACATTTAGAATTACAAGACTAAGTGTATCTCTCTCTCAATATGAGATTTACAAAAAGGTATTTTTAAAAGTGGAGAATCAAGCCATACTGACCATAAAGTAACATAAAGTCTAATCAGAATTGAATACTGGCAACTATGAAATCAATTATATGGAATACAAGTTACTCAGCAGTTTATTTCTGGCAAAGTTTTGACAAGGGTCTCTCATTTTAATGAAGTTTTAAAATGGGAGTTTACCTTTCATAATATTTCAGTGAGTTCTTGAGACTTAGGCTACACAACTTAACATTTTTTTTAGCCCCTTTGAGCTATATTTGCCACTCAATGCCCAATGAAAAAATAATGCTAATAATAAATTTGAAAAACAAATTTTCAATACAACTTTATTATTTAAAATCCTGTTTTATTTCTAAAAACCGCGACATATATATAAGAATCAAATATCCAGGATGGATTCTTATTTATCATGTTGCATAGTGTTTTATACTAAAACCTGAAAAGCTTACTTGCATAGAAGTTGTAGAAAAAAATGTCTTAAAGATGCATTATGTAAGATTTAGATAAAGAGAGAGAGAGAGAGAAATGGGGTTTAACGTCCACTCGACACAAACTAGGTCATTTCGGGACTAACATATGGTTTAATTTTATTTCAATAATTCACTTGCGCGTAGGGGTCTTTAGCAGTGGGAGGAAACCGGAGGACCCGGAGAAAATCCACTAGGTTGGACAGGCGACCCTACTCCTTGTCACGTACAACCGGGGATTCGAAACCACGCCAGTTGACTCAATGACAGACTTTATGATACAGCGCGCGCACGCTAACCATTCAGCCATCCAACCCCCCTTAGATAAA